CTTCTGCTAAAAAAAAAAAAAAAAAATAAGGGTAATAGGTAAATTCTCATATCTCAGAAAAAAAAAAAAAAAAAAAAAGAGTTGGAGTTGGATATGTGCTAATTCCTTAAAAAAAAAAAAAAAAAATAATGTTAGTCTGACTTTTTTTTGACACAGGGAAAAAAAAAAAAAAAAAAGCTGGAATGCAGTGGTGTGATCACAGCTCACTAAAAAAAAAAAAAAAAAAAGCTCAGGTGGTCCTCCCACCTCAGTTTTTTTAAAAAAAAAAAAAAAAAAATGGGGTTTTTGCCATGTTTCCCAGGCTGGTCAAAAAAAAAAAAAAAAAAGCAATTCATCCACCTCAGCCTCTCAAAATGCTAAAAAAAAAAAAAAAAAACCATGCCTGGCCTAATTTGACTTTTATCTCTGTGATTGGGACATTAAAATGAATATTATTGGCAGTATCTATCAGCTTACAGAAAAAAAAAAAAAAAAAACTACCATCAGTTATTCAATGCCATTCAGAAGGAAAAAAAAAAAAAAAAAAGAGTAGTCTTTCAGTAAGTACAGATTGGGTTTAAAAAAAAAAAAAAAAAATTTGTTATCATTTAAGTGCTTAGGTCAGTAAAAAAAAAAAAAAAAAAAAATTTTCTCAATTAGTATTGTAGCAAATTACCCTAAAAAAAAAAAAAAAAAATATTATGGACTATCAAGTGTGTCTCTTAAGTTAAAAAAAAAAAAAAAAAATCAGGATGGCAGTTTTAAACACTAAAAACCATAAAAAAAAAAAAAAAAAAGATAGGAATTCTGTTAATTTAGTTTCGGCAGTAAAAAAAAAAAAAAAAAAAGTTAACAATCTGGGAAAATTATATACAAATAAAAAAAAAAAAAAAAAAAGTTGGAAAAATTCTTGAAATGGGCAGTATGAGAAAAAAAAAAAAAAAAAATTGCACGTCAGAGCTTGATCTTTTGGTGAAACAAAAAAAAAAAAAAAAAAATTTTACATGCAAATTCTTGCTTTATACACAAAAAAAAAAAAAAAAAAAAGAGAATATAGAGATAAAATATACAGCCCCTGCAAAAAAAAAAAAAAAAAATTAGATGGGAAAAATTATCCAGTAATACCATGAAAAAAAAAAAAAAAAAAGCAAAGAATCTTGGAAACAGTAAATGTTGAAAAAAAAAAAAAAAAAAAAACAGAGTTAATGTGAGGCATAGGAGGGGTGTTTAAAAAAAAAAAAAAAAAAAGTGTGTGGGAAAGCACAGAAGAGTGAGAAGGAAAAAAAAAAAAAAAAAATACTTTCTGTGAGTGTAAGTTCATAGCATCTTAAAAAAAAAAAAAAAAAAATTTGAGAAATTGGTAATTTTTTTGAATTACAAAAAAAAAAAAAAAAAAAATTGTTTTACAGGGTGGCCTCACACCACTTTTAAAAAAAAAAAAAAAAAAGAAACAGCAAATGGTGGAATTTTTAATCAAGAAAAAAAAAAAAAAAAAAACACTTGATAGGTTTGGAAGGTATAGTTATTTTAAAAAAAAAAAAAAAAAAAGTGATAACAGTCACTCAAGTCATAAACATTAAATTAATAAAATTAACTTATACTTATTAGAACATGGTGATCGGTATCAACAAAAAAAAAAAAAAAAAAAATGCAGTCATTTGGACTAGGCAACATAAAGAAAAAAAAAAAAAAAAAAAATCTTCTTTTATTATATTGACTGATGTTATTTAAAAAAAAAAAAAAAAAATTATATGATCTTATGTTAGCTAAAGGGATTTCAAAAAAAAAAAAAAAAAAGCGAACTTTAGCTTTTAGTTTATGACTCAGTAAAAAAAAAAAAAAAAAAATCTATAGTTTTTAACCTCTGCTTCTTATATGCAAAAAAAAAAAAAAAAAAATATTAAACATAAACAGGAGTTGAAAATCATTTTGTCTTTTGAATGACTGCTTTAAGTTACTTTCTTTAAAGAATATTAATGAAAAAAAAAAAAAAAAAAACGATTAATTGCTATTCCCAAATACTGTGGGTAAAAAAAAAAAAAAAAAATCTTTATTTCCAGTGTATTTTGATGTTTTTATAAAAAAAAAAAAAAAAAAGAGGGAGTGAAGATAGTTTTAAGTGGATAACAAAAAAAAAAAAAAAAAAAGGCAAGCTGTAGGTGGGTGATAAAGAGAAAAGAAAAAAAAAAAAAAAAAACACAAAACTGGATTTAGTTCCTAGGTTTCTTAAAAAAAAAAAAAAAAAAATTGGGAACGTTATTTACTACCACATATGTTGTAAAAAAAAAAAAAAAAAAGAATATATCCTTCAAAGAAAGACATATATGGCAAAAAAAAAAAAAAAAAACACATGCTTATTGGCATCATTAACTGAAGCTAAAAAAAAAAAAAAAAAAACTATTATTATTAATATTACTGCTTTCAGCCTGAAAAAAAAAAAAAAAAAACTGATTTTCTATTATGGCATATCAGTCTAGGGAAAAAAAAAAAAAAAAAACAGTTAAATCTTTGTCCACTTCAGATAAGCAGAAAAAAAAAAAAAAAAAACCCATCAAAGTCCTTTAAATTAATAGCTTCTAAAAAAAAAAAAAAAAAAAAGATAACAGGATTCCTTTTTGTCCCTTTCTTTAAAAAAAAAAAAAAAAAAACAAAGATGAACACTTAAGCACCCAAGATGCTAAAAAAAAAAAAAAAAAATAAATGTTTAATTCTGCATGGACAGGCAAGATAAAAAAAAAAAAAAAAAAATCAAATTAGCTTTTAAAATAACTTTATTAAAAAAAAAAAAAAAAAAAAAATCTGTCATTTTAGAACTGCTCTTATACTTGCAAAAAAAAAAAAAAAAAAAAGTATGGTTAGCCTTCTGCTTCAGCAAAATAAAAAAAAAAAAAAAAAAAATGTATCTGGGTGGACTGCTGAAGATTACGCTAAAAAAAAAAAAAAAAAAATGTAAGTATTTACATTAAAAGGCTAGTTAACAAAAAAAAAAAAAAAAAAATAATTTTAACTTTTGTATCTTGGATATCAGGAAAAAAAAAAAAAAAAAATTTAGGTAGTTTTAGAGTGGCCATGAGTTAGTAAAAAAAAAAAAAAAAAAATCAAACAAAAAGCTAGACTAGTTAGAAGGTGAAAAAAAAAAAAAAAAAATTTACCTCAGGACTTTTAAGACCTTTATCCTTAAAAAAAAAAAAAAAAAACATTTCATTCCAAGTATAACACCTATGCATTGAAAAAAAAAAAAAAAAAAATCTTTGATTTTTCTGATTAGTTATTTGGGTCAAAAAAAAAAAAAAAAAATAGAAAGTCTTGTATTGTTTTCTGGGGACTGTAAAAAAAAAAAAAAAAAAATTTGTCCAAGGAAGACAATCCTTTTTATCAAAAAAAAAAAAAAAAAAAAAAAGGACATTTTAATCATTCTGTTGTTTCCATAAAAAAAAAAAAAAAAAAGTTGCCACTGAAACTGGTCCTGCTGCCTGGTAAAAAAAAAAAAAAAAAAACAACATGCCCTTACTGATTGAGATCCCTCAAGAAAAAAAAAAAAAAAAAACATAGACTTCAAAGTTACAACGTTCTTTACTTAAAAAAAAAAAAAAAAAATGCTCAGTCATTGTTCCCAAAGCACCAGCACCAAAAAAAAAAAAAAAAAAATCCTGGCTTTATCTGCATGCAAAGTGAGCAAAAAAAAAAAAAAAAAAAAATTCAAAACCTGATGTGGAACCCACATCTTATCCTAGACTTAACTGAGAACTTCATGTTAAGAGATCCTTTGAGTCCTGTGTAAAAAAAAAAAAAAAAAAATATTAGTTGGGCTTGTTCCAAACTGTCAAAGAAAAAAAAAAAAAAAAAAAGAAAGAGATCAGTGTTTGTTTCTTCTTCTTTAAAAAAAAAAAAAAAAAATGAGGCACCTTTATATCCTGTATAGTACCTTAAAAAAAAAAAAAAAAAAAGTTAACCTTCCCTAGAGCAGTGGGCACCCAGTAAAAAAAAAAAAAAAAAATGATCTGTTTTCCATGATAATGAAAATTTCCCAAAAAAAAAAAAAAAAAACCTCAATATTTAAAAATATTTTCAAATTCTACAAAAAAAAAAAAAAAAAAAGATAATTCTTGAGATCTCAAGTAGGTTAGTTAAAAAAAAAAAAAAAAAATGTTCATGACTCATCGCTGTCCATGTGTAAAAGTAGGGCTTTGTGCTTGCTTTGGCTGCACATATCCTAAAATTGGAGCAATACAGAGAAAATTAGCATGGCCCCTGAATAGGCAGGCTGCACAAATTTTTGAAAAAAAAAAAAAAAAAAACAGTCACTGGAAGGTCACTTGACTATTTGCTAAAAAAAAAAAAAAAAAAAGTGTGAATCAAAGCAAAATGGGTGCCATCTGAAAAAAAAAAAAAAAAAATTTGCTATAAAAATATTCATGTAAGGTGGCCTAAAAAAAAAAAAAAAAAATGAATAATGTGTAGAGTGTTGTGTGCAAAATAAAAAAAAAAAAAAAAAAAAAAAATTAGAGAATGTCAATTTGCAACTTTTTAAAAAAAAAAAAAAAAAATAAAAGCAGGGTTTTGGTCTCCCATGTCCGCTAAAAAAAAAAAAAAAAAAGAAGCATTATCTTAACAAACATCTGCTGGCTCAAAAAAAAAAAAAAAAAAGAAGGATCATTGGTCCAAGCCAGGTCTTGACAAAAAAAAAAAAAAAAAAATGCTCTTGGTGTGATTGATAAACTCCATAATCAAAAAAAAAAAAAAAAAATACTTTAATGAGATATTTATGAATAAATTTAGAAAAAAAAAAAAAAAAAATTGAGATGCTCTGAATTATAAGCCATAAAGAGAAAAAAAAAAAAAAAAAAAAATTAATAACATTTCCTGAAAGCTACAACATAAAAAAAAAAAAAAAAAAGAACACAATACACTTTGGGTTTTTTTTTTTTTAAAAAAAAAAAAAAAAAATGTTGCCAGGCTGGAGTGCAGTGGCGCGATCTAAAAAAAAAAAAAAAAAAATCTCCCGGGTTCAGGTGATTCTCCTGGCTCAAAAAAAAAAAAAAAAAAAACTGCAGGCGCGTGCCATCACGCCCACTTAATAAAAAAAAAAAAAAAAAAAGATGGGGTTTCACCATGTTGGCCAGGATGGTAAAAAAAAAAAAAAAAAATGATCTGCCTGCCTCGGCCTCCCAAAGTGCTGAAAAAAAAAAAAAAAAAAACTGCGCCTAGCTACACATTGGGTTTTATTTGAAAAAAAAAAAAAAAAAAGGTCATAAAGTTTAGGAACAGATTATTCCATTAAAAAAAAAAAAAAAAAAGCATTTAAAAATTTTATCTTGTTAAATCTTTAAAAAAAAAAAAAAAAAAACAGCAAAGTCCTCACTTTGTAGAAGACATTGAAAAAAAAAAAAAAAAAAATTCCAAGAACAAATAGCTCTTCATTATGGAGCAAAAAAAAAAAAAAAAAAGGGACTTTCTATTATGTTAAGCGAATGCAAGTAAAAAAAAAAAAAAAAAATGGCCTTGATTTATGAGTATTTCACCTTACTTAAAAAAAAAAAAAAAAAAAAGCTTAATGAAAAGTTTGTAGGATGTACACAAAAAAAAAAAAAAAAAAATTGTTTTCTGATATTCTGATATTGTTTGAAACAAAAAAAAAAAAAAAAAATTTGTAAGTATTTTTCATGTCAGTATTAAAATAAAAAAAAAAAAAAAAAAATTTTTACACATAGAATTTGCCAATTACTTTCAAAAAAAAAAAAAAAAAAGATGCCAAAAAAATGTTCTGAAAACAGCAATCAAAAAAAAAAAAAAAAAAGTGAATTACTTTAGGTCAGTTGTCCCCAGCCTAAAAAAAAAAAAAAAAAAAGGGATCGGTTTTGTGGAAGACAGTATTTCCAAAAAAAAAAAAAAAAAAAAGATGGTTTCAGAATTATTCAAGCACATTGCAAAAAAAAAAAAAAAAAAAATTATTATTACACTGTAATATATAATGAAATAAAAAAAAAAAAAAAAAAAGTGTAGAATGGGTGGAAGCTCTGAGCTTGTTTAAAAAAAAAAAAAAAAAACCATCTGGGGGCAAAGGGAGACAGTGACAGACAAAAAAAAAAAAAAAAAACATAAGAAGCACACAACCTAGATCCCTCACATAAAAAAAAAAAAAAAAAATTCATGCTTCCATGAGTATCTAATGCTACCAGAAAAAAAAAAAAAAAAAAAGCTTAGGTGGTAATATGAGCCATGGGGCATGAAAAAAAAAAAAAAAAAAGCTTCTCTAGCTTGCCTAATACTCACGTCGTGTGTGGCGTGGTTCCAAAAAGGCCATGAACTGCTACCAGTCTGTGGCTTGGAAAAAAAAAAAAAAAAAACTGGGTAGTCCTACCATAGATGAAAAAGTAAAAAAAAAAAAAAAAAAAAAATGAACAGCGAAGCACAGATCGTGTTACATATAAAAAAAAAAAAAAAAAACACTGTTACTGACTTTATTCCTCTAAATTTGAAAAAAAAAAAAAAAAAAATGCTTTGTTGGAACAAGATGTGTTCTTCTACCAAAAAAAAAAAAAAAAAAGTAACAGTAATTTTGTTAAAACAAGATGCTCTAAAAAAAAAAAAAAAAAAATTGTCATAATAAATATACAAATTGCCCAACTAAAAAAAAAAAAAAAAAAAATAAAAGTACAAAAATGTTTCACAATAACAAAAAAAAAAAAAAAAAAAATGGATGTGGACACCTAGTATATTGTACAATTCAAAAAAAAAAAAAAAAAATTTAATTTAGCCATATGTTTATCAAAGAGCTTAAAAAAAAAAAAAAAAAAATGTTGCAGGAGACAAAGATGGAATAGATGTAAAAAAAAAAAAAAAAAAACTCATAATAGAATAGAGCTGTCTCTATTTCATAAAAAAAAAAAAAAAAAAGAATTTACAAAGAAAACATTTGTATTTCTGTTAAAAAAAAAAAAAAAAAAAAATAACTGTCAGATGTCTTTTAGATACGAAGAAAAAAAAAAAAAAAAAAGAACACATTTAAAAATACAGACAGGAGCTTGTAAAAAAAAAAAAAAAAAATATTATTTTGCTACTTTATTCAGTCCTTACTGAAAAAAAAAAAAAAAAAAGAAGTTTATATTTATGGTTTATATATTATATTAAAAAAAAAAAAAAAAAATGTGATGAGGAATGAAAGCTTTAAAAAAAAGTAAAAAAAAAAAAAAAAAAGCATGCAGAGTGAGTAGAATTTTTCTAGGTAAAAAAAAAAAAAAAAAAAATTTGGCAGAATGAACATGTAACGAAATGGTGTAAAAAAAAAAAAAAAAAACTAACGAGATTACCTGTATGGGAGGAAGAGCAAAAAAAAAAAAAAAAAAATGCTTGAGTGAACTTTGCAGAGTTTATGAGCAAAAAAAAAAAAAAAAAAAAAAAAGTGTGAGATACAAGAGGTTGGGAATGAAAAAAAAAAAAAAAAAAAGCAAGTTTATGATAGAATTTTTAATACTATAGAAAAAAAAAAAAAAAAAACCATGGGCCATGGGAAATTTACCAGGTAGAATAAAAAAAAAAAAAAAAAATAGATGAGGAGTGGCTAAAACTGTAGGAACCAAAAAAAAAAAAAAAAAAAAGTGATATCCTAGAATCCCACTTGTCCCTCTTAAAAAAAAAAAAAAAAAAGTGTCTTGTTCATGTCTCCTTTCACAGTTGACAAAAAAAAAAAAAAAAAAGGCATCTTATTCTCAGAACACAACATTGCAAGAAAAAAAAAAAAAAAAAAGTTTCTTTAAATAGGGAGAAAACTTAGAAGCAAAAAAAAAAAAAAAAAAAACATTTCATTGGCTGGGTCACACCACATGCCCAAAAAAAAAAAAAAAAAAGGGAAGGCAAATGTAATTTTGTGACTAGCTTAAAAAAAAAAAAAAAAAAACTGAAGCTGGGGAGGAGTATTGGGATAGTAAGAAAAAAAAAAAAAAAAAATTTCTTCTGCAAGAAAGAATTAGGAATGGCTGAAAAAAAAAAAAAAAAAATGGTTGTTGCAGGGACTCATTGGAGAAATTTGAAAAAAAAAAAAAAAAAATTAAATTGGAGTGTTAAGGCATTCTGGCTATGAAAAAAAAAAAAAAAAAACAAGCTTTTTCTGTAAAGGACTAGGTGGGAAATATTTTAGACTATGTGATCTCTGTCATACCTACTTAACCCTGCTGTTGTAAAAAAAAAAAAAAAAAAAATAATATGTAAGCAAATAGGCATGACTGAGATAAAAAAAAAAAAAAAAAATAAAACCATAAGGCAGACTGGATTTGGCCTGTAAAAAAAAAAAAAAAAAACCTCATAGAGGTTGATGGAAGGTAACCATGTAAAAAAAAAAAAAAAAAAAGGAAGCTTTTGCAGTAGTCAGCTATAGCTTTCAAAAAAAAAAAAAAAAAACTAGTATCAATGTATTTAAGGTTTTTACCCATAAAAAAAAAAAAAAAAAAAGTTAGGAATCTCAGTTTTTCATTTTAAAATGAAAAAAAAAAAAAAAAAAATGCCTTTTTCATTTGTTTTGTTTAAGTTCTTAAAAAAAAAAAAAAAAAACATTAATAGTTGGCAGATTTTTTTTTAAATAAAAAAAAAAAAAAAAAAAATTATGTTCCCAGTGGCAGTGAGAATATAAAGCAAAAAAAAAAAAAAAAAATGGTCAATATGATTTAGTGATGATTGAATGAAAAAAAAAAAAAAAAAAAAGAGAAAGATGATTCGCAGGTTTCCAGGTTGTACACTAGCATTTAACCTGGACATGAGGAAGGAGCAGGAAATTTTCTGGTGAAAAAAAAAAAAAAAAAAACAGCAGGTCAGCAGGAATGACTAATTTTTTTCAAAAAAAAAAAAAAAAAATATTCTTATATTTTGAGTAGGTAATTGGATAAAAAAAAAAAAAAAAAAAAATCCTACTAGTTTGACTCTCAGTAATAAGAATAAAAAAAAAAAAAAAAAACTGAAAGTTGATGATAAATATCCATGTGTATCAAAAAAAAAAAAAAAAAATCAGTCAGCATCCACAGAATTGGGACAGATGAACTTAATGGATAAAGATGTATATTGGAGTTGTGTTTTCCTTAGGAAATGAAAAAAAAAAAAAAAAAAATGAGTCACAGCTGCCAGAAAACAAAGAGAGAAAAAAAAAAAAAAAAAAAACACAGCAAATTCAGTTCTAGAGTGCCTCTGCTAAAAAAAAAAAAAAAAAATGACTTCTAAAAAATCATTTTCTGGCAAAATGAAAAAAAAAAAAAAAAAACTCTTTCTGCCTGCAACCAAACAGAATCCCTTAAAAAAAAAAAAAAAAAAGTTCTTCCTCTAACAAAAGCAACAAAAATAACAAAAAAAAAAAAAAAAAAGAGCTTTTTTTGTATAGGCTAGTATTTAAAGTAAAAAAAAAAAAAAAAAACAGGATTATATTTAGAATTTAGGGACTAGATGAAAAAAAAAAAAAAAAAACTAAAGATTGCTGACTCAAACACAATGTGGTTAAAAAAAAAAAAAAAAAAAGCTCTGAATTCACAACTATTAGTTATATTTAAAAAAAAAAAAAAAAAAAAAAGCACTTTCCCAAACCAAATATTAAGTGATAAAAAAAAAAAAAAAAAACTTTATTACAGAATTGACTTTCCAAATGTTCAAAAAAAAAAAAAAAAAAATTCTACATAGTATCATCTCAGCTGTGTCCACAAAAAAAAAAAAAAAAAAAGTGTTAATGAATAATGATTCACTAGGAATATTAAAAAAAAAAAAAAAAAAGATTTATATCTAATGCAGATAGAACGAGACTAAAAAAAAAAAAAAAAAAACAAGCATCTTAAAATTACACATAAGGCTTTCAAAAAAAAAAAAAAAAAAAAGCCTCCATCTTTAGCCCTTTTCCCTGTGTGCAAAAAAAAAAAAAAAAAAGAACTGCTGATAAAGACCTACTCACTCATACTAAAAAAAAAAAAAAAAAAACATTCACTCTTGCAGGCCTTACTCCCTATCTAAAAAAAAAAAAAAAAAATGTCACCCTTTCCTGCCCTGTACCCCTTTTAAAAAAAAAAAAAAAAAAAATTAAGTCTCTGCTTAGGCATGATTTCTGGAAAAAAAAAAAAAAAAAAAAATTATTTTCATTCTTGTTAAACCCTAATGCCTGAAAAAAAAAAAAAAAAAATCAATGAAAAATTGCTGAGTCAAATAAAGACTAAAAAAAAAAAAAAAAAAGCAAGACAGTCTTGGAGCAGAGGGGACAGATGAAAAAAAAAAAAAAAAAATTCAGGCGGTAAAGGTGCAGTAGAAAAATCAGAAAAAAAAAAAAAAAAAATCAAAGAAAGAGGTACCTGTTTATCTGGGGAAAAAAAAAAAAAAAAAAAAAAGACTTCACATAGGATTGTTTTAAATTGTCAAAAAAAAAAAAAAAAAAATTTTAGATATTAGGAAGACATTGTACACTAATAAAAAAAAAAAAAAAAAATTTGGAAATCATTTATAAGGTACTATTAGGAAAAAAAAAAAAAAAAAAAATGTTACCTTATATGTTTCTACTGTATTTTAAAAAAAAAAAAAAAAAAAAATTGTTCATTTATGTTTGGTGGATGAATTTGTGAAAAAAAAAAAAAAAAAATTGTATGTCTTCGATCTGGTGACATGACCAAGAAAAAAAAAAAAAAAAAAGAGAATTATTTCTTAAGTAACTATTTCATGAAAAAAAAAAAAAAAAAAAAATGCTCCATTTATGAAATAAAATGAAATGTAGAAAAAAAAAAAAAAAAAAGATTCGTTTGAACTGAATGTATGGCTTTCTCTTCAGAACAAGACTTAAAGCTTACATCAGAGGAAGAGCCACAAAGGCTTAAAAAAAAAAAAAAAAAAAAGCATGAGGCATGTAAAATTTTAAATGCACATTAAAAAAAAAAAAAAAAAATCTTTGTTTTAATAATATTAGTCCAAATAAAATTACCTTTCAGACTAGGCTTTGAGAATCAATGGATTCTTTTTTTAAAAGAAAAAAAAAAAAAAAAAAAAAAGTTTACTTTAATAAATGTAGCAACCTCATAAAAAAAAAAAAAAAAAAATTCTAATTTAATATTTGCTATTTAACTTAAAAAAAAAAAAAAAAAAAAAAATTTAAGATGTTCTTGTTTAAAATATTCTTAAAAAAAAAAAAAAAAAAATTATAGCTAATTTTTCCCTTTGGAATAGAAGCAAAAAAAAAAAAAAAAAAAAAAAAAAAAA